GGAGCTTCCCAAAGGTAAAATGCTCTAATTGCGAAGAAACTTTTGTATTTTGGCTATCTCAGCACCGAGTGGGTAGCATCTGAACTCACAACTGTGAAGCTTCAGGTTTGATCTTTATCTGGCACTTAGTATTTTTTGAGCCTTTTCATTCTAGGTAGAATTATGCGAAGCGGCATAAACATCATCATTCTCTTCATCCGTAGTATATTGAAAATTGATCCCCACTGTGCTAGAGACATTGTTAGCTATTAGACGGGGGGCGGGAGTACCAGCGTTAAAGGTTTCTATCTTTACAATACGAAATAAGACATTTCGAGCTTTGCGTTCGGTATTAGCGTTAAGCATTGCGCATTACTCCAAATCTTCATCCCTCAGGAAGACAGTGATGTATGCACGGGGTCCTAGGCCAACTAAATTTGGAAAGATTTCTATGAAAGTCGTATAGTAGTTTAATTAGCCGGCAAAGGGGGGGGGGTCCAGAGAAGAGTCGTTTAGGTAAAAAGGCAATAAATGGTAACGTCGACATGACTTAATCGACAAATAGAGCGGTCAATACAGTCGTAGCAGAAATCAGCCATAATGTAAAGTTTCTAAGTTAAGCATACGTGTCCCGAGATCATGTGGTTTTTTATTATAAACCATTAACTATGTGCTCGGCTACCAATCGCTACGCGAATCACTTTGAAAAAGGTTGCTATCCGTTCATGTGGCGGAAATATGAAAGAGTTACAACTGAGGTTGTCTTATGAAGACTATCGTGCAATTCCTGTGCGAAACTGAGAGGCTATTTTGGGCCTACGAACAGGACTGTAAGGGCCGTAAGTTTACAAGGACCTCAGGCGCTGCACTCCAAACGCCATGAAGAATATACAGATGCTCGCTAATGAGACTAAAGCGAGACAGTTTGCGCGCCGTCATTTGCGATTTGCTACTCTTCGGCGCGAAACATCCGACTACGTTCTGCTCTCTGTCAACTAGAAAATGTTCCTCGTTAATGTAAACGTTAATTAAGAGACAACCGCTGGCTCACCGACGACTCAGATGTATAATGATTATTATTAGAGCAAAATTGCCTGCCAGGGTTTACGTTCTAAGTGTTGTATCTAGTGGAGACGACGTCATGCTGCCATATCCCTTTCAGGAAAAAAGAAAATCGTTATTTGTAAGTCAACGAAGTCTCGGGACAAAATTACGCGTAATTCTGTAAGACAGCACTTCCGCTCATAACAGCCATTTAGACTAGAACCGATTTTCTGGTAATTTTTTCTGAGCCCCTCGTAAAACAAACAGTTCCGGCTGCTGAACAGCCTAGATGTTTATGACTTGAATCTTTTGATCAAGTGTCACCAGAAGGTTCAGAGTCGCTGTTTAGAAGTCGAACAACTGGAATGGTTGTGGAAATTTATCAAAAGAAAAGCTCGTAGGAGCTGTCTTCACCAGGCTTATTACTTAAAGAAATTTATAGTTGTCGTTTTTTTAATGCTGGTTTTTAGGTTCATTCAGCTAGGGTACTTCGTATTCCGTATACAAATATAACATTATAAGAGAATCGATTTGATTAAGCTAACAGATTAATAATTCCTCGGAAGTTCTTTTCGAGTGTCTCGATTTTGAAAAGAAACGCCAACGAAAAATTGTATGGCAAACGACCACTTTTTTCTAGGGAATACACGGCCTGTCTAGGTTCCAACTCCATATATCTTAGTTAAGTTATTCCCTGCCGTTCCTGTCTACCCTGGGCTACACCTGCAATTAACTATTTTGGAAATTTTCCACGGGCTGTAACCATGACAACACAACGGCTGCTACAGCCAATTAACAGCGTATCAAAAGACATGGGAAAGGAAGTTTTATTAGACCCATAACAATATTATTAAACAAGCTTGACAAAGTCATGTCCATAGATGAGAAAACCAAAAATATTCTACAGCAGCTAACTGCGTTAAACCTTTATCAGGAATTGCCGATGGAAGTAGAAGCTGACGAAGACGATGCTCGACTTTCTCTCGATGACTCTACTACACAGCGAAATGAAGAAAGCATTATTGATGACCGCGATGAAGGGGCAGTTGTCGATTGCTCGCGCGAAGTCCACTACAGTGTATATGGAGGTACAGACCCAACAGCGCGACATCAACTACGTCAAGAACTTTTTGTAGGCTCTGGGTCAAACGCAGCATTCAACGGCCAATCATCGGTGATAACGAGTACAGTATACGCGTAGCTTACAAAATAGTTTCATGTTTGATTTATTAATTGGATAACTTGTCAATCTTCTGTGTCACAATGACCTTTGTCACTTTATCATATAATCGTTCGTTTATAATTTGGACCCTTATTCAACCTCTCTTCATCTTACGTAGAATTTATACAACTGTCCAAAAAGAAAATATATCTTGAAATGATTCTCATTGCAGTTACATAAGGCGCATGCAAATGAATTGAAATCACTTTTAAATATTGTCAACTGTTAGATACGCTAAAAACTACACCGAATCATACTGGGGCACTTGGACAAGCAGCGTTGTCCAGAGAGGACAAGGTGGTGAATGATGACCTTCAGCAGCTAACCCTGCATCCAGAGGATATGGAACTCCAATACATCGAGAGTCCAGAAACGGATAGTGACCCATCCGTTACGTACGTTTCCACAAGGAGTCCTAAGTAAGTAATGTATTTGGTACGAATCCCACAAGTAATGGGGGTGCGTATAATCATTCTTAAATAGTTTAAAAGTCGTCAAGAAATCCTTTGGACTAATCGGTGTGATTTGTTATGGCCAAGTGTTGCAACAGTGAAATTTCATAGAAAAGCTTAGGGTTATCTGTGCTTCGGTGGCTATGTACAAGCCGCAGAAGGTAGTGTTCTATCACTTTTGGTATCGAAACGATGCTCCGCTGCATATTTCTTTGTTTATGATAACATAAAATGACTAACTCGCCGACATGCGTTACTTATTGAAATTTTCCAAGAAATATTTGTGTTGTATGATTTGAATAGTTCAATCTGCTATTCCCATAAAGCAGTTCTATGCATATGGACGAGCCAGGTTGAGCGATCCCTTTTGCTTTACTGCAGATATATACGGCATGTATCAATAGATTGAACATGACTTTTGTTATCTCGACAACAACATATAGTACACCACAATGTGATGATGGAAGATATTCATAACAGGTGTAAAAGGGTATTCCAGACAAAATACAATCATGTTCGTACATATATACAATTTCCGTCCGTTCTCCGAGGACAGACACGCATTAATTTTTTTATTTCAGAAATATCTCGTCTGACAACAATTCAGCCATCTTGAGCCGTAACGGCATTACCTCACATGTTACATATAACAGAAAAGTGACCCGCAGACCAACTGAACGTAAGTTTTCCACAATTATAACACCAACGTGCATCTAAGTAAGTAGACTAGGAGTCATCAATAACAATGGAATGTTTAATCTCTGAATTTAACACCGTACCACATTGTCGCTGGCAGCAATGCTCAAGCTACACTAAGAATTATCCTCAACTACTTACATGTGGTTGTCCTATTTATCGCACAGGTATTGTTTCGTAAAAAAAAAAATGCTGTTTCTGCACACTTGCAGCATTTCCCGACTCAATGTTGACGATGCCTAATATAATCGATACATAAACGGCTAAAGACTGGTCCCAAATACCAAAAACTGTTTCAATAAAAAAAAATTAATTTTTCTTGCAGGTATGTCAACAACTCGCCGACCCATGAGACCCGGAAGTTCAAAGCAAACATCAGCATCGACGGCTAGAACCACCACTGCCACCGCCATTATGATAACACCAGCCCCATCAACGGCTGATGACAGTTTGGATGCCACTTTAGAGGAAGTCGACTTCGACAAGCAGAGCCAGGTCACCGATGAACCAGATTTAACGACGGAACCATTAACCACTACGAGTATCAACACGACTATGCCGATGGCGACGATGACAGTGACAACAATGACGCCACGACGAAGACCAGGCAAAACGTTAACGAAGAAGGCATCGCAAGCACCGGCAGGCGGTAAATATTCGAAGCTGATGTGGACATATTACAGTTTAGCCGTTCTGCTCCATGTTGCCGCTCAACATTTAAAGTCCTGCTTTATGTGTAGACAAATCTTTCGAGTCTTACCTCAGGTACTAGCAGCATTGCTTCAGATCAATTTATGTCCCACAACGTACTATGTGTGATGTCTATGTCGTCTAAAGGCACTTTTGTTAAACCTCGCTTATATGGGAACCTATGAATGCCAGAGTCAGGCGTGCCTTACCGTGATAGCTGGGCCAGATCGCTCTAAATGGAACTTCGCTCGCTCTATGCATGTTCTTTGCTTTGTATTATTTGGAATTTATAGAAAGTTCTTCTATCATATAAGTCCGCTTTCGTTGTTCGGAGGCTTTCGTTTTACGGTGCACCATACCGTCTGTCTGATAGGGGATTATTATTCGCACTTGATCTCACTTAACATTTCGTACATATTCTATGTAGAATAACACCTTGATAACAAAAATGTGGGTCATATAAGTCTGAGATAGCAGTCTCATTAAAAAAAACATTTCATTTATTCGCATCCTTTAGTAAGTACGTTATAGCTGTAGAAGAAGATATTTCCCGTACACTAGAGCTTATAAGTCCGATCTTATTTTAAAATGCTTTGCTTCACTTGTTTCCCTGACTTCTACTAGATACGACTGATTAGAAGCAAGAATTGTGCGGTTTTTGGAGGTCTAACGTTCTCATGTTACCGCAGTCGCCGTTACGGCGGGTGTCAGGTCGTTTCCATGTCAGGATGGAGAAGAACACTGATAGAACTCGCAGGAAAGCTCTGTAAACAGCTGCAGTATTGAAGTCTATGAGGCCTATGAGAGGCCCTGAGGCGGTCTTTGTTAGGAGGCGAGCGACCGTTCCGTCTCGGTCGGCTGTCCGTCTCGCCGCGGAGAGACGCTACCCTGAAGTCCCTATGAATCTCTTGTTTCCCATCTTTCTCCCCTTGCTGATGCTCGTAGCAAGGACATGCTGGATTATGACGACAGAATTTTCCTCTAGTTCGGTCCCCTTAGTCTTAGGCACGCGTCCAACTTCCGGACGTTCTGTGTTCTGCCTCAGGAAGGGCCCGGATGTGCTGTAGCAACAGCAGCGTGTGCCGTTCCTTTTGCTGCATATAGACGTGGAAATGCCAACGATGACGACTACGACTGCTACTAACAGCAGTGTAGATATCTCCCTCTAGAGAAGTGACGAAGCGAAGAGACCAAACAGGGAAGATAGCAAGAGAAGTGCAACTAACTGCCCCCCGGGCAATAAGCAACAAACTAACAACTAGACGATATTCTGGCTCCGTTACAGCCATCTATCATAATCCACCCACCATCCCGATTCTAGCCATAGTTAAGCATCAGTCCTCATTTTCATCTGGCAGGCTTCTTTTCTCAAGACGGAAACCGACCATCGACGGAACAGACGCGCAACCACGAGACCGACGAGAAACACCGGTCTGTTTCGTCGTGGCTTCAGGCTAAACGAGAGAGAAGAAAAAAGATTCGTAAAAAGTAAGCGTTACGATCTGAGAAAAACCACCAGCATTACGATCCTGCGAGAGAAGGACAGTGAAGCAGTTGCTGCTCCTTCTATGATACTGGTGGTCCAACTCAACGTGCTGTTGTGGGAAGAAAAACGATCCGCCAATCCAAGCTTTGATCTCCTCTCCAGCCAGTACATTTGAAGGGGTCCATAGACACGACTACCGGCGCTGCTATCTCCATCGCCCTGACGTTCACGAACCTACACCGAAGTAACCCGGAGATTACGCCCTCCGCTCTCAAGCTACAAGCTGATGGCATTATAAGAAAGTTTGGGGGTGGGGTACCCCATTTTCACTGTGTAGCCCTTGCGTTGCTCGTTTCTATAACAGAAGAGTCCTAACATTGGATGGTCTCCATGTAAGCAAGCATCCAGCCACAGCCAACTAGTGGGGAGTTAAATCGCTCTATTGGAGCATCCTCTCCCCTATCCTGTGCGCCTACGAGCACGTCACCAGTGCTCGCGATCCTTACCGCGATTTCCGCAATCTGCTATTAGTAAGGGCCTTCTCTTTTTCGTTTTCCTATATATAAAAAAGTAAATGGGCGAGGCCAAGGCAAAAGGACGAAACAGAAAGGGAGTAGGAAAGCAAGGATAAGGAAAGTGGAACTGTCAGTGCTTTACGGTGGAGAGAGTTTGATATACGATCAGATTTAAAGCCACCTGATGGAAACTTGAGCATTTAATGAGATTTTTGTTTGGTTGTCATCTTGCTCGGAAAGTCTGAGCCCATCGCGGCTACGTACGGTCAGGCAGAGTTAAATGATCTAGTGAAGAATTACTACGAATATGTCGTACGACATAAGAAAGCGTCACTGCAGATACGTACCGAAGTTTTAGATGGTACATAGGATATAAAAATGAATAACTGGCTAGGTCTAGTTGAGGCACTTACCTTGTTGATGAAAGCATCGCAGATACACTGAAACAAAAGATAAGAATCCGTTTATAAATTGAATATGATTTATTTTCTAGTAATTTTTTTTACACAGTTATTATAGGTTAAAATGAGCCGGCGCTGAAGCAAGGGTCACCAGCTATAGACGCATAAGGGGCTGATTAGCCGACATATAATACTTAACTTATTAAATCTGCCACAAAACGAGCGTTGCAACAATCGAGTTGCTTCTGTCAAAGTGTTTCTCTCAACAAAAATTATAAAGGTGAGCGTACTCTTGCCCCCCCCCCATAGTAATTTTCACTCATTTCTTATTACTGTTGTAAGACGTCTCATTTTGCTAGAGGACGCTCTCCAAGTAGTGTCGTACCAATTTCATTGAACCTTTAATGATTCTTTAACGTCACGTCAGGACTGTGTCGTTACTTGAAGAGAACGCAATTGCCGGTATTTAATATTAAGCGTCTGATGTAATATAAAATGACTCCAGATAGTCGCGGTTTATCGCATCTTCAAAAAACAGCGCGCTATTTGAGGCACGAAGCCTTGATTATACTTTGCGTTGGAACGAACCTAAAGAAAATTGACGTTAATTTACTTACGATTGCCGATTGCCCTTCATGTAAACAATGATGCCTTCTTCACTGTCGCCTTTATCCTGATAGTGGAACTTGTTACAGCGAATCATTGTTTCCATGAGAAATGGGGTACGCTGCACCTCATACCACGTTCCCATAAACTGGAAAGTCCGTCCATATCGAAGTTGGCCAGTTGTTGCAGCGCCAATTATACCAGCAGGCGAAAGGCGCGTGACATGAGCGGATACATAATAATACAGTAAAATTAAAAATGTAGACTCACAAAATGATGGAAATTCTTGCACATCGACTTCAGCTGAATTCTTGTACACTACATACTGTATATTATTTAGTTACACGATACAGGTTTTTTTTTTTTTTAGCAGAGGACAACTAGGGTTTTAGTAGCTAGTAGTATTTGACAAAACCAAGAAATTGCCTATGATTACACTGGCATTATAACCTGTCTGGTACGCGCTGCGTTCTGCTGCACCCTCACATAGGCCCTGTGTGTCCTAAATCAAAACCAGCACCATTTGATAGAGAAACAAACGGAAAGGCAAAAGTAAAGAAAAAAATCACTGCTTTGACGTAGAAACTCGAGAATGAGATTTAGTGATTATCATGAATATAGGAGTAAACATTCGAAATATGTGAATATACAAGTTTTTTTTTTATATTTTGAATAAAACTATAATTGCATTATATGAATGTTTAATTCCACTTCACTTGGTGGCAATGTATATATTAACGGTTTTTTTTCTCTATTAACGGATGGCCTTTCTGTGCATACCGGCAATCCCATTTCTATTTACAATGTTTATAGATCTCAGTGATACTTCACAACGAAAAAGCAAATATGGTGCTGCGATGGGTCTATGGTGCGATATATTAATTTAGCCCTGCAAACACTACGATACAAGTCTCTTATGCACAGACGTAGTTACTAGGTTTTTTGTTTAAATAAACCGTATCTGTTGTCGCCTTCTTCACACAATCAAAAAAAAAAAAAAGAAAATTAGTGCGTCGTAACAGGTGCCATGAATATGGCGAACTAGTGTACTATACCGTTCAAGAAAATCCTTAGATAATGGCAGTAAGTTCGATGGACCCGCCAGATTTGGTCTTTGTAGCTGGTCCTCCGTACCTGCCACAACAATCTTGATCGTTTTAAGTACGCATGTATATATATATATTAGAGCAAGCAAAGCCATACGATATGTACCGTGTCACTATTTAGAAAAATACTTCGTTCTTTTTTAACTGCCAGGTGCTGTTCAGTTCTATCCAGACGATAAGAAAAGTAATTAGTGGTTCACATGTTTACAATGCTCTATTCTATACCTTGCGCAAATATCAATATAAATAATACGACATAAAGAAATTGACCCATGTTTCGCTAGATAAAGTTCCAAAGCGGACTGCCCGGAAAAATCTCTTGTCAGTGAAGATGCGGATAATACAATGGATCTAAATCCGAAGACGGGCACAGATTATGGTTGATACGAATCTTTATGGCATTGATGAACAATAAAAAAACATGCTGTTTTTACCAACCAGGCTCAAAGGATGCTCGCTATTTTTCGAAATAATTCTGAGGCTCTTTATCAAATGGCCCAACAGCCTGTGTGTCGCCAATTAATGCTTAAAGGAAATAAATAATGCTGTGAAGTATTGCCTGCTCGTACGCTATAATCGTTGTGCTGTCAGGGCAAAGCTCCAATTACCGCATAACTTCATCTAAGGCCGATGTATCTGGTTGCCAGGGGACGACACAAACTAAGGTTGCGACAATATCTTCTTATAGTAATTTCTACATTACCGTTAACAACTGTGCGTCTCGTATTGGTTAAACAGTGTTGCCGTACAGAATTTGTCAAGGTCGCACAAACACGTACAGATACGTATAGAACGATGTCCGTTTGTGTGTCTGGCAAATACATATTATAAGGTTCCTGTCGACCTTACGACAAGCATATATGTTTTAACATTGATATAGCTGAAGGACATATTTAATTCAGTTTTGTCTCGTTTGATGCTGATGAAACGTATTCATTCCATGCGGCTTCACTATCGCATCTACCGCTTTTGAGATTGACCCTAGTAACTGTATCTGGAGCTGTATATAAACCGTTCAACTTGTAAATAGCTTTCTACGATTCGCAGACGATTTCTAGTCATCTAAATCACTGTAACAGGGTTGTGGACCAATGGCCTTACATGTATATAATGCTTAACCTACTTATCTAGTGCACGTACTGCCATCTGCTTTCCCTTAGTCTACCTTCAACTGGAAGTTTACTTCTTCAAACCAAAAAGACTCCTTTTTGCTCTCCTCTCCGGATAGCACACACCCCGACGACGCACAAGTTGTTTTACAATACGTAAATTTTACGTACGAACAGTGGAGAATTTTAGAGGACTGTCCATACCTTCCGAAGCTAAAAATAAGTTACTATCTAATAATTCTTTAATTGCGTACATAGGAACATTCTTGATAATAACAAGAGATATCTAGAGAACAGTAGCAACTTGGAAAATCTGTATAATTGACCCTGTATTAGTAACTGCACGACGTAGCCCCCTTTTTTTTTGCTTATTGCCCTTTCCACCGTAAAAGAGCGAATACGTTACCTGTGCATTGCAGTCCTATATTTACCAGTCCTCAATCTTTTTATTTGTACGTTCCAATCTTCATGGTTGTCAAAAACTTCGTCTTAAGATACGCTATAGATGACTGCACTAGATCGAGACATAGCAAAGGTTACGTACTCTATCCGTTAAGGGTGCGCGGGTAGCGGATACGTCCATTCGAATCAAATGAAAAGATACACTAGCTCAATGTGCTGCTCCACGTATGTAATTCGCATGTTTAGATGAAACGTATTTAAACCGTAGTTGAATTATAGAAACAGGCTCATATGGGACTAGGTAGGTTCAGCCTTTCGACGGATTTGACTACACTGATCGTGGGGCCCGTCGAAGCGTACGTAACTTCGAATGAAGCTAGAGATTCGACAACCTATTCAACTTCAAAGTATTCTATTTTACCAGGGATCTAGAACCTAGCCCAGTGATTGCAACAGAATGGAATATGTGTAGACGATTTATATATTACATGTTACGGCTATAGAAGGTACACTATTTCTCTTTTTGTTATAGGATTTACGATAGAAAGGTTGTGGAAAAGTGTTTGACGTTCGCTTGTACAATTTTGTAAGAATTCTGGTTATGTTGAGGAAAAAGCTGAAGTTGTATACATGATTAGGTTGTCTCAAATGTTCGAAATTTTAATTTTCATTTAACGCCTAACTTACCGTTCAGATTATTGTATCTAGTAAGTTTAGTGTTCACACAAAAATCCAAACAACGGTTTAACAATATTAGACCGTGTTGCCTTCGGCGGAAATCGCAAGTGCCGATACATGCGTGACAAAAGTCGCCGGAATCATGGCTGACAATACAGAACCAGTCTGACGCTATCCTGTAGATCGAAGGGTTAATCGACATAGGCGACTGTTGTTTTTCGCGCATGCTCAATGATAAACTCGTCATTTTTTAGCTAAAAATACAATCCAGTTCATGTTAAAGGCTCATTGTTCGTGCAGCTTATTACAGGGTTGCTATAGGCTAGTTTGTATGCAACGCCAGTCAAGTGGATTTCGATATATTTTCGTATAAAACTGAGTTTAACAAAGAGATTATGCATCAATTGATATACTACTTGTCTATTCTGCGTAAAGAGGAGCGCCACGCGTACGATCCATTCAGTAAATAAAAAAAAAATCGTAAATATTAATAAAAAAAATTTTCTCATCTGACAAATGCATTATCGCTGATGGGGTTTGTTTGTATGTGTCGCGTCGCATCCACGTACGACTTCGTCGTACCACGTCGGCCAACTAGATTCACGTACAGATATCGACAAATGATCGACCCCAAGTGACGGTGTATAGCGAGAACCAACTTCCCTCCTTGGGGTCGCAAACAACGCAGTTTCAGTATCTGAACTCGGTGGAAAAAACCGATCCAGTGTAAGGTGATGCCGATATGGTCTGCCCTCTGTGGATTCAGTTTCCTATTTCAAATCAGACTCTCGTCGAGGAATTTTAGAAGCCAAAACAGTCATTTGGACAGGGGTCGCCTCTTGCCAAGCCATTTTGACTTGACCGAGAACCCACGTTGAACGTTCTACTTAAAACAAAAATCATTAGCCTAGCAAAGAAAGGTGACACATAAATCATCACAGCACGTAATATTAGACTCAACTCGAGTCCAGAGCGCGCGTGGTCCTAGTCATTCGGTAGACCGCCATATACAAAAGACGGTGGGGCTTCCCTCATAGTGACAATCACAAGCAGCTCGTCCGCATCAATCGGAGCTCTCCTACATACTTCAAACAAAACGTCGTCCTCAGAAATCATCTTGAATTAAAGCTGAAAACACTAATTATTTCGTACGTATTTTTAAGGCTAAAAGAGGTAACTGTATATTCACTCACCCTATCGTGATCGAAATCGTCGACGGTCTTAATTTCGGTGGGACACAGTCCTGGCATAACCATTGCATCTGTGCAACGCACTAAAAACAGCATTAACAGCTGAGTCAATCGCACCTGTCCACATAATAACGTGACGAGTGATAGCGCCCGTGCTGGTACGCGCGTCATGTCAACTGGTAACTTTTCCCACCTTCAGGTGCAGAACGCTATGGTCGCCGCCACAGACCTATCTGCAATGTAGACGGAACGGATCAGGCAAACGGGGTTAGCAATAGCAAGCGTGGTCTCTGGTGGAAGATTATGGAAGAGTCTGGACTGCAAGAAAGGAAAAAAGACACTCCCACCGTGTGATCCTTCGCCCACTGTTTCGCGAAGCATTGCCGACCCCGTCTTCTTCGACATAGATAAATGTTAATACAACAGCTAAATAACGACCGCTCTGAATGGCAGGCTACTCTGTAACTGAATAGCGTGATCCTGTCAGATCATAATTTTCTCTTCTGAATAATTAGAACACACGCACCGATAGACATTATCTTCACAGATGAATCTCAGCGACTGAAACAAACCAAAATCGGCGACAAAGATTCATATCTAGTTATTCCTAACAGTATTTTCATATTTTCAGCCTTCTTGGATTGGTAATCACGTGTTGCCCTTCATTCATTCGCGGTGTCCCGTTTTATTATACCTTCAAAATACGATTGATATTTTAATCAATTAACAGATAAGATGCTATTACTTTAAATGTGTTTGCATCAACTTCGCACTTCTGTGATAATTTCGAAAAAGTAATGGGTCATTTTGGTTATGATCGAAGACAAAGCTACAGGAGGTGCCCAAAAGCCATCGTTATAGCAAACCTATAACAAACCGCTGTCATCTAGTTCTCGCCAAACTATTGTACCTCTAACCCCTCTAACTATGCCAAAGTGAAAATTCATCTCGATTATATGGAAAGAAGATGTACACTCTGCAATAAACAAATGTATTTCACTATATTCTGACAGGAGTTGCTGACGCATCTGTCTAGCCACACCGTGTCTGACACAAACTTCACGAAACTTGTCTAGTATTCAACGTTGCTTCTCAAAGCAGAGCTACGTGATTGTATCTTTTTGGAATTGCCCTGCCTCAAGTCAATATTAAGCATTATTATTAATAACATAAGCATATTAAAAGTTCCCAGTTGAAACAATCATTGTGCTATATTGTGTTCGAATAGTGTTTATTATAAATCATTTTAATATAAGACACACTGCGAAAATATTTTTTTTTTACATGTAATTTGTGCATTTAGTCAATTCGGTAACTTGATAATACCATTACACGCAGGTATACTACTATATGATAAATCGGTGCTATAAATAAAAAAAATATAGGCACGACTTTGAGGCATCACTTACTTTAATTAGCATAGGAGAATTTTTTCCACAGTTCACTATTAACCTATTAACAATGTGTCGTATGTATGGTATATGTAACAACTTGAATGACAAAACTGCTTTAAAGCTTCCGAGTTATTTTCCGCTTCTGCTATCAAAGGTCTCCTGCTCAGACCAGTTCATCGGGTGTAAACACGACAGCGCAAAATGCCTCTGGGTGTCTTTTGAGGTATGGGGACGAATGCTAGATAATGTCTAGGAAGAATTTTTGCGTAAGCGAGTTTGCATTCATGTGGAGATCTTGTCCTTAAACAACTAGTTAGCATTAGTATTTTAAAAGGAAAGATTGAATCTCACTAGAATTACTTTTGGCCTATATCTCGAGCCTATACCGTTAGGCGTTCCGATTAGACCTTCACCTCCTAGCACGAAACGAAGTGTGTCTACGCTAGTATTTGAACCTAGACCATAACGTACCCTTAAAATTTGCAGGCAGATACGCTAACCACGATGTCGTCACCCCAACCCCACTTTACGGCGGTTTCGTTCTGGTGTTTCATTGTACCCAAAGCAGAAACAACGTTTTTTTCTTAGCATGTCTAAAGATGAACTTTTAGGTCAAAACTGATGCGCAGCCAAAATAAAACAACCATTTAGTGGAGCTATATATTTCCTACGGTTGAGCTACTTTTCTAGGTTGACAGCGTTTACGGCTTTGTGGCATATTGCCCCGCAACTGACGTACGAGAGTTCTGAAGTCTCACGGTACCATTCCAAAGCAGACCTTACCCCCTGATGAAGAGAATTGACGTAATTCCATTAGACCTTTCACCGTCCGAGCGAAAAGAAACGCATAAAGCGAGTAGCCAAGTGGAGAGCTCTAGCAAGCCTTACATTGCGAAGCGGGCATCTGCAGTTGCGGCTTTGTAAGAAGTCAACATAACTTCTGAGAATATATTCAGCACGCTGGAAAAAGGCTTGCAGAATTTGAACACAGACTGATGAAACGTACTTTCCGAGCGTTGTAAGAGTGATTATAAAGATCAAAAATCGTGAACTTCCCTGATGATCTGCTATGCAAGGTCGTACTTTTACTGAACTAGCGAAAGCTGTTTGTCTCTTCCTAACTCTTCTTCATAACGGAAGGCGAAGATTACTGTTACGTATGAAAGAAGGCTCTTCAGGCTATGTTCAATTAACAAAGGGCTATTATAGCCAGCATGAATAATGTGATATAGAGCTTGGATAATGATTGTTTAGATTTTAGGCCGATTTTCGCTAATGATTTGCGCTACGGGTCTTGAGTAGCTATTGGCACTCAGAAAATTTCACAAAGTACTGTTTCTCAAGTCATATCAAATTATACATACAAAACACGGACAAAGAATATACATTAAACCCACTTTTTTTTATATTTATTGCGTGAACCAATGCACGATGACCTGGATAGGAGGTCGCTTTAGAAAGCTGCACTCTTGAATATAGTCACAAAACTTATTCCGATAAAAGTTATGACAAAAAAAGAAACTATTATTGTAATCTATACGTGCACAAAGTATGATCTATAGTGTCTTTTCTTAATATTTGCGTTGAAGCCTTACCCACCGCACTGTTTTCGAAGGAAAACTTAATCACGTAACCAGCTATAGATGCTGTAAAACAAAGGAACACTGAGCACATATAAAACGTACTAGAAAATTAAGATATCCAACTTGTGTCCCAGTGTACTCGTTTAGATTGATGTTCTTCAGTTTGTGCACATTGTTCCATTCCACGAAGTGGTAGATGAAAATTCAAAAGTTTGAGAACCTAAAAAAAAAAACTAGAAACGAAAAAAGTCCTTTAACTAGATCACAGTAAACTTCTTCCGATCACTAAACCGACGAATCAACAATAAGCTCAGGCCTGACTATCGTTCGGTGGCCAAAACCATTCGGTGAATTTATATGCTTTTGGTGCGCTCATCTCATTTCCATGCGAATTATCACGGCGTCCCCCCGATATATCTGATGTTCCTGATATTATGTCTGTCGCTGATAATCGTTCATTGATCGTTATCGCTATCGTCGTCATGTTATAGTCAGTATTGCAACGATGTTATTAATGTATATGGTGTCTGTTTTATCACGGTCGGCAATTGCTGTTTCGGATGCTGCAACGCGTGAAAAATTTCAACTGGCGGAATAGCAGATCTGTAAACCACTACAGCAGAACAGTGCGCAGACGTACGAGTGCCTGTAAAAGGCCATTGAGTGCTTAAAAAAGGAATACGGTACGCGGAAGTGTCTAAATAGGACCAACTCTTGCTGGTCCTATTTTGATCCAGTGCAGAAATTTCCAGTAAGCTTGTGCTTGGTATTGGCAAGCTTAGGTTATTTATATTTTTATAGTATAATATATTTTTAACTAAAGAATTAGCGTCGTACCTTCGAACAAACTTACCTACGCACGTACACCACCCAGTGCAATACAGTAGATGATAAATATAGCAGCACTTTGTCAACAGTCCGGATCATTGCAACGCCTACTTAGCTAGTATAAAAGGTAACAACGTCAAATAAAATTCCTCACCGGGAATTTTTTTGTCAACTGACCTTATCTCACGATATCTCTCTGTCTAGAATTCTGAATTGTAATCTATTCTATGATGAGATCGTGCGATTGGGCCCAGAGATATTAAGATCACTTGCACGCAGCGCCGTCACTGCCGTCGTTGCACTAGATATTCAGGTTCGGTGAAGAGATGAGCAAATAATTAGTCGTGCAGCTTCACGCGACCGAAGTCTGCGTTAAGACCTAACCGATATATTTATGCTATAAAAAAATATGTTACCAATTTTGTGACGAATGCACTATCTAGCTACAAGCTTCGACGAAAAGTTGTATCGGTTGAACGGTTCTACGATTCTTGTTCAAGGTCTCGCAACTTCAGCTTTAGCAAGGATATTGAGACATTTGCCAGCTAAATGGCTTAAATATAGGAGAGAACCTCAAACAAAGGTCAGCTCCCAAAGAAACGCTAATTATAAAAAGACTAATGAGTCATAAGGTTTTTGCTTGTCTAAGCTTAAGCAAAGCACCGTCGAAGTAGAGCTTTTCTGAAATACGAATTCCTAGGGAACGACGTACTGCGCAAACGTGATCAGCTCAACTAAAGAAAACGTGGTTTTGAAAGATAGGTAGATTTATGGGTGCTTTATATAGATACTCGATTTGGAGACATCGTTTTCAACATTAAACCATAATCCACTTGCTTCGTTTGTTCCACGCAGTACGCCATATTTGAGAAGATTTCAGCGTACGTATATCTTGCGGTAGCATGATATTATGTTTAAGTTATCGGTAAAAACATGTTCAACAAAGCAATCTAGACGGGGCTTGCCCAGTGCTTAGAAAAGATGATAGTCATCTCGCGAAATTTACTCCGTCTATACGTTATAAGGATTACTGTTTCGGAGCCGTTACGCAAACCATTTTTCACGTACAACTTACCCGAGGCTGGGTACCCGCTGACGACGAAAAGTTCGTAACAAACCTGTATTGTTCGGTAAGGACGTGACTTGCTAATGCTACTATTCAGCTTAACGTTGCATTGTCGGCTAATATGACCAATACGCAGACGCTTAGTAACTTGTAATGACAACTTATTATTATTATCTGTATTACGTGTTGTTATCATCTGAGAAGATCCGAGTAAACAATAGTTCACTCATAAGCCTTGGCCAAGGCTAATTCGACCAAGTAACTCGGGGCGTTGACAAAAACCCACAAAATAAGTGTACTTCACAATAACATTTGCATTCCAGTATATATGCTTATAGATTTACGTAAGGCAGCGCATCTGGATGAATGTTTATTATTCGAGTGTCCTATCAACGCGTTCATCGTCCGTTCATTGAGCTGACTTGACTGTCAAGCGATAGACAGCGTCTTCGACGGCGAGAGGA